TCCTCTTGTATTTTTATCGTTTAATTTTTTTTGATCCTGATTTGATTTTTTCTTGATCCTGATTTAAGTTTTTTTTGATCCTGATTTAATTTGTTTTAAAGCCCTATCCCTTTAGGGTTTAGGGTTCAGTCTTCAGGGCTTGGGGTTTAGGTTGTAGGGTTTAGGAGGATCTTGCTAGGCTAGTCAGGATGGGGTTTAGAGTTTAGAGTTTAGGGCTTCGGGCCCCGTACCCAAGCACGAACCTACAACAATCAAGTCCTACTTTCTTGAGATGTAAGTACCGACTTATTGGGCACTGGACCCTAGTGGCAAGGCCGCACCCGAAGCCTAAACCCGAAGTCCTATTTATTGTATACTTGGCCCTACGTAAGTAAAATAATGGCCCAAGATTCAAAACCTACAAAAGGCCATTATTCCACATACTTTTGGGGTCCAGGTAGGGGGTAAGGGTGCAACCCCTCGAATAAACTCGCGGTTTGAGGAGGCCACACTAACAAGTCCGATCCGGTAACTGGGCGATATCGGCGTGTCTGACCTCCTCTCCAAAACCTTAGCAGCCTTAACATAAAGTAAAACATCTTTTCCATTCCGTAAACCCTACACCGAAAACCCAAGTGAACCATGAGCAAGCCTATGGATCGCTTCGTCTGGAGCCTTGTGAAACCGCACCTGAAACTACGTCGAACACTCCTGGCCAGGGATTTCGCGTTTGATTGGGGTTTAGGGTTTACGGTTTACGGTTTAGGCCAGGGATTTCGCGTTTGATCGGAGATTGCGCAGAACGCGCGCAAGACATGGAGGACGCACGGCAGCAGTGCAATCAACACAACATCACCCCTTCATCGTGCATGTGATGTGCGTGGTCGAACGAACTATTTTTTTAGCACCGGCGATAGCAAAGACAAATCATGGCAGAACAAGCAAAGACATACGCATATGTATGTGTGTGTACATATATATATATATATATGTGTATATATGTGTATATATATATATACACGCTCAAATAAATATAAATGTGCATGTACATACACATGTATATGAGCATGCATGTGTACGCCTGCATGTGTGCAAGGGAGTATGTATGAGTGTATGTACGCATGTATGTATGTATGTATGTATGTATGTATGTATGTATATATGTATGTATGTATGTATGTATGTATGTATGTATGTTATGGATGTATGTATGTATGTGCGTACAAATGCATGTATGTAAGTAAGTACGTATGTATGCATGTAACTACATACGCGTAAATATGCATGGGTAGATATGTAGATAGACAGATAGACCGGTAGATTAGATTAGATTAGATTAGATTAGATTAGATTAGATTAGATTAGATTAGATTAGGTTAGATTGGATTAGATTAGATTAGATAGATAGATAGATAAATAGACAGATAGATAGACAGATAGATAGGTAGATAGATAGATAAATGGATAGATAGATAGATAGATAGATAGACAGATAAATAGATAGGTAGAGAAATAGGTGGATTGATAAATAAATAGATAGAAAGATAGATAGATCGATCGGTAGATAGATAGATCGATCGATACATAGATCGTAGATAGATCGATAGATAGATAAGTGAAATTAGATTAGATTTGGTTAGATAGTTAGATAGATAGATAGATAGATAGATAGATAGACAGATAGATAGATGGATGCATGGATAGAAAGGTGTATAGATGGATAGGTATATAGATACGCAGACAGACTGTTTGCGAACACACTTAGAATTTCCTCCGGCACCCAGGGCAAAGAAGACAAAGGGGTTGCTGCCAAGGCGCTTGATGGGCAGGCCGGTGAAGTGGCGATTCTGCAGGTTCAGCATGAGGCGGTAGTTGTGGTAGTCCTTCCTCAAAACTTCATTCAAGATCTTGAGTTCCCTCGTGAGGGCTCGGTGAGATATTGCGGCCAGTCTTTTAAGACACGTCGTCCCAAGGGCGACTTTCCCCCAAAAATGCGCCGGTTTAATAACGTTTAGGCTTGTAGGGTGGTGAGAACCACGACTCCCACACACGGCTGCGATAAACGCCTCAGGCATCCAAGCCCCTTCAATCTTGAACGGTTCACTCAGAGACACGAACTCCATGCAAACAAGCCGGAGGTTGAGGAATGAGGGGTTGCGCCTGTGGATGGGTTGTTGTGAATGCTTCAGCCAGAGAGCGGCTCATGCTAAAGTCACGGCCGTAGCAACACAACCCGCCAAGCGCGCACCTTTGGGGTTACATGTGCTAGGGCTGTCATGGTTCTGTCTCCGTGCCTTCACGGCTCATGGGCTTCAGCTGAGTGGACCGGCTTGCTCCACTCTACTGACCAAGGAATTAAAAGTGATGGCCGAGGAGGACCGCAGCGACAGGCAGCAGCCGCAATAATCACGCCGAACACATCCGGGCTGAGAACAAACTGACAAAGTCGGGAAAGGTGGGTGTCTGTGGAGGCACATGCATCCGTGGGTGTGTTGTTGCCAGTGCTTGTATGTGGAACATTGCTGGCGGTGACTGTAGCGGGCAGCGCGGGGGACAGTGGTGATGGTGGGTGGTGGTTTTGGCGTTGGTGCTGGTGATAATCACGCAGTGTGGTCTGATGGCGGCTGGCGGTTTGGGGGATCTAATGCATAGATGATGAGGGATCTCCTGCTTCAGGCCATGCGACTGAAAACATGGGTTGTCTTTGACTCTAGGTTTAGATATACTTATAGACTTGTAGATGTAGTCTATCTGCAGGCTCGGAGCTTGCAGAGGTAGGAGCTGATCTTGTTCCTCAGCATCGCCTGCTGTTCCGACGGCCCCCACCCTCGAGACTCCAACGACGGAAAGGGGGACACGCTGCCTGAAGCCTATGTCGACGAAAACCCCTCTAACTTCTCTACAGGCCTTGAACCCCAAACCCGGAGTCTGCAAGCTTGACTTTTGACTTCCGGTGCTGCAAGCATACCTATACCTATAGTCTCCATTGTAGTTCCTTTTTTTGGTTGAACCAATTATATATTAAGGATTTTATAAGGTATCCCCAAAAAGGAACTACAATGGAGACTACAGGTATGGGCTGTCGAACAGGGGCCTGCAGCACGGGCGCAATTCTCAAGCGATCCTTCTCGACGGTGAAGCAGCCTCATGTAGCTGCATTGGCTGTTGAAGTTCTGGCCTGCTACTACTACTACTACTAATAATAATAATAATAATATTGCTACTGCTACGGCTACGGCTACGGCTACGGCTACTGCTTCTGCTTCTGCTTCTGCTACTGCTGCGACGGATACTTCTGCTACTGCTACATGAATACTTCAGAGATACTCAACCCATGATAAAAATAAAAAAAACCCAATAATCGTCATTATTTTATTTCGAACATCCCCACCACGGTAGTCTGTGGGGTTGGGCATTCCAGGGAGTCTCACGGTAGTCTGTGGGGTTGGGCAATCCAGAGACTCTCACAATAGTCTGTGAAGTTGGGCACTCCAGGGACTCTCACGGTAGTCTGTGGGGTTGGGCACTCCAGGAGGTAGTCTCAGAGGGCGAGGAGTAATAGCTGACTTTAAAAATCGAACAACCCCACACCGAGGGTGGGGAATAACAAAGTTGTTATATTGCTATAAATGACGACATTAAAAAAGGTAATGCTAGAAAACACTACGCATAATTCATAATTATAGTTGAGGGAATGGACCGACGACGTGCTTCAACCATCCATGGCCAAAGACTCGATGACAAAAGGCCTTGTTATTCTCCTCGCGCATGTGACTGCTTAGTTGCGTGTGCTTTTTCAATGTGTGCATTATTCTGCTAAGGAAGGCAGCGGCGGCGACATGCACAACCCAGGCTCGAACATTGAGTGACTATCTAAGCGGTTTTTTGCCTCATTTTTTGCAAAAAAAAACAGGCTGTGGGGCCCTGTTCCATTTCAATTTGATTTTCGCTACAAAACATGCGAACATACTGTAAATATGAGGAGCGTTCCACCCTCCATTTATCATGATTAGTTTATGGTTTCTCCACTCACTCTCGGACATGCCAGTGAGGTTCTTGATGATTGGTCGGTTGGAGCTGACAACGATGTTGGAGGTTACCTGTAGTCTCCATTGTAGTACCTTTTTGGGGATACCTTATAAAATCCTTAATATATAATTGGTTAAACCAGAAAAAGGAACTACAATGGAGACTATAGGTTAAGGGTCCTGGTTCTGGGGCAATCAGGGCGGTACATATAACACCAAAAGCTCCAGAATACTGGGCCATGGGCGTGCCCAGCTATGGAGAAGTCCCTAAAGAAATCTGGCACAGCACAACCCGACCTTTCTGCCTGATCAAGCTTGCCTACATCCGTGAGAAAGGGCACCGCCATGCAAGGCAAACACCCACTACAAATCCCAGCAAAGCCTTCATGCCAATGTACCAAGCTCGGCATACTCAAACCGGTTACAAAACTACAAACCGGGCCAGCACGGCCTTCGCCAACCGGCTCCTTGACCCAATCGAAATTGGCCGCCAAGGCCTGCGAATTGACGGTCCGGAAAGGTTTGGGGTGGTTGAGGTTTAGGGTTTAGGGTTTAGGGGCTGTAGGACATGTATAGCTTAGTCTAAGTACAGTCTGGACGAGGAACTGCATGTTTAGGCACTTGGTGCTGAGGGTTTTGACGAGGTTTGGTTCTTGTTTCAGACGAGGGGGTTTCCGAAAATAGGGGACCCTAATAGAGTACCCTTTGGGAGTAGCCTTTGCGCACTAACGGTGGGCAGAACGAGGAGCACAACAAAAAGCACAAGCTCGTAAGCCTTTTTGGGCACTATGGTAAAATCACTCTGGCTTAAACCTTCTTCCGAGACCCTAGGGACTAGAACAGGAATCCCAAACCCTGATGCGCAATACGGGAATATCATATCATATCACTTATTTCTCGACTGACTTCAATTAAACTCGTGGTATCTTCAAACATCAGAGTTCTAACAGAGCCCGCGAACACAAGCACCGTCCTTCATTCAAGCATAATTATGAATTACGCGGCTGGGCTGTGCCGCTGCGAAAATAGAATAGAATACGGAGAGTATAAGACGTATTCCGTATTAACCCCGCTATTATAGTAGAATAGAGTCAGTACGGGAGAAGATTGATAGAGTCAGTACGGGAGAAGATTGAATTTCGGGTTTGTCATCCTCTTTTGTTAATGGGTTATTCGTGTCGTGTTCCTCTCTAGCTTGCAGATTATTTTTGTGTTTGTGGCTTCTACTTCTGCTTCTTTTTGAGGGCATGGCGGGGTGCTGCCACCCAACGTGTCTTTGTGCTGCGGCTGCTGCGGTGTTGTTTTGGACAGGCGACGCTAGGCTAGGCCCCTTCTGAAACGGTGCTTGGTTCAACCAAAAGCTGCTTGCCAAACTGCGTTTGTTTTGAGGCTGCTGCAGTCTTGCTTTGTTGCTGTCGTAGTTGGTTGGTGCTTTGGGCGGCAGTTTCTCAAAGGGGATGGAAGTGAAGGGCGGGGCAATTTCAGATGCTTGGGGGCTCTGCCGGGCCAGTTCCGGGTGGAAAGTAGCATTGGGGCGGGGCCTGCACCGGCTGGCCCTGGGTCTGGGCGGGTCGACCAACTTTAGTACTGGGCCGGGGCCTGGGTCGACCAAGTTTAGTACTGCAGCCTGGGCCGCCTCAAAATCCCTAATCCTGGATTATGTTTGTTGTGCTCCTTCTTGTGCTATTTTTTCTGCTCTAGTTTTGT